GAGAGAGAAAACAGAAATTTAATAAAATACATAGTTTTGTTATATATTACTATAAATGGTAATAATTAGAGAGTATATTTAAATTAAGTAATTATCTTTTAAAAGGAATCCACCCAAGTAATTAATCCAAATATAAATTGAAGAGAGAGAAAAATATAGAACTTGTATTAATTATTGCAGTTTAGACTTTTAATTACATGTTTTGATTTTTGGGTGGTGTATATTTCTTTTGCTACAATTTTTGACAACAATATATAATATGCATTGTTTTACATTGTCAGAATTAATCTTCCCAGATTTATATCAGTTGGATATCAATTTCATACATTTTTATTTTTTGTCTTTGTTCTAAAATTTCAAGTTGGATACCAAGTGTTTATAAATTGGATACAACATTAACTTGTTTTAGATTGTCTAATTTGGTTGAAATATCAGTTACATTTTATTTTATTTTTTCATTTTCAAGTAGGATATCTGTTGGATACCAATTGAATACAACATTAACTTGTTTAGGTTGTCTAATTTGGTTGAAATCTCAACTACATGTTGGTTTTTCAATTTTCCAATGGGATATCAATTCAATACCAAATTTGTACAAATTGGATCCAATATTAACTAGTTTTAGGTTGGCTATTTCAGTTGAAAACTCAATTACATGTTATTTTTTTCAATTTTACCATTGGGATATCAGATGGATACCAATTGTATACCAATTTCATACTAAGATTTGACTTAATTTTTTCATTCGATATCAATCACATACCAGCATTACCTAGTTTTTGAGTCATTTGAAAAACACTGAATACACAAATGATTAACTAGCACACATAATAAATATTCTTAAATTATAGTTCATTAACATAAAAGACAAAATAAATCAAAACATGAGTTTGTCACAATAAACAATCAAATCAAAATCAAAATAAAAATAAATTATGTCTTTTTTCAGAAGGGTAATTTGAACATGTCTTCCTGTTGTGTCCCTTCCAATGACATGTACTGCACGTAATCTTAAACCTATTGAATTTCACATTAGCAAACCATTTACAACGTTCAAGTTGTGGTCTCCATACAGTTCTTTTTGAACTAGGCGACAATAATTTATGCTCCGACACTTTTTGAATTGCATATTTTCCTATTCCATCATAAATTATTGTGTCAGTATTACATCATACAAAAGTACAAATAACTTTTATTCACATGTTATATCAGTATACAAATTTCATACCATTTTTATGCGTACAAAATTCATACAAAAGTAGAAATACATATGCTATTTTAAAACAATTTCATATGTTATTATAGGATACAAAAGTAAAAACACATGTTATATTAGTATGCAAATTTCATACAATTCTTATTCACACATTTCATGCCAAAAGTTATCAATTATTCATATCAGGATTATGCCACTAGAATGCCAAAATAATTCCAACTTATAAATATTAATTGTCATTTCTTAAATAAACAGTATACCAAATTCATTAGATTATTATTCCCAAAATTCATTACAATATAATGCCAAAAAAAATAATTCAATCAAACCAAAAATTGTACCAAAAAACATTATGGATTGTCATAGATGTTGGTATTAGTAATATACAAATTCCAAAAAAAAATTATCTATTTTTTTTAACCAGATTCATACCAAAAAATTAAAAATGGGCCAGACAAATAATGAACAAATTCAATGTTCATACCAAAATATAATAGTATACATTTTTTTTTAAAATGCCATAATTAAAATTATTATAAACAAAGAATCTGAAATCAGTATACAAATTTCATATAATTAGTATGCACACTTTTCATACCTATTTCATGTCAAAATTATATCTATTTCATGCCATAAGTTGTCACTTTTTCACAGCAGAATCATGCCACTATAATACCAAAATAATACCACTTCTAACTATTAATTGTCATTTATTAGATAAATAGTATACGAAAATCATTCAAATATAATTCTAAAATCATACCAACATGATATAACCAGTATGCCAAATTCAAATAAATTTTATGTAATTTTCTGGCCAGAAACATAAAAAAAAAATGAATGTTCAAAACAAAATCTATACCAACTTCATACAAATTTTATGTAATTTCAAAAAATGAATATTCATACCAAAAACTCCATAATTAAAACTATTATACATAAACAAAATCTGAATATATTTTTTTTCAGTAATACTGTTCATAATTTTTTTGCGTTTGGTTTGTATTCCAATACAAATAAAATATCGCAAAGAACACTAACCTGAAGGATCCCATCTATCACCATGCTTTATTAATACTAATAAGAAGCTGTCCATTACAAGAAAATAAAAATATTAAATAAAAACGAATATGAATTAGATTAGAGTGACAACTTATAGAGAAAATATTGAAAAGAGAGAAACCTTCGAACAAAAGAAAAGAAATCTCTTTGAACGAATTTTAACTATTTTAAGCTAAAAAAGAAAAACAAATATTTCTTTTTTTATGAATCTCCTATTTATATGCCTCCTATTAATTATCATTAATTTTTTCAAATTGTTTACTACTAATATATCTGTTTTTACCTTATTTATTTTTCACAATAATTAATTTTTACTTATATTTTAAATCATTTTTTATTTTACTAAAATGTTAAAACCTACAATTTTTTCTTGATATAACTTGAAAGATAAAAAATAATGTTATAACTTATAATTATTAGTCTTATATATGTCAATTATAAAATTTTCACTATTTGCTTTACTAAATGATTGCCTTAGATATTTCAAATTAAACTTGAAAATGGTTTATTGGTCAAATTAAATGAAATATGTTGCACATTTCGGAATAAGAACTAAACATGAAATGCATATGCTGCCATTTCCAAACTAAGTTCCAATTTAACATTTTTGAAATAATGCACACGACAACACTTTGTGAGGCCGACAACCCTATATGAACACATAAACCTTACATATACTGTATCATAATGATTGACAGTTGACATCCTGTAAAATAAGGAAAATGTGTCTTACAAACATGCCTTCAACTGGAATAATTGTACGTACATGAAAGGGCTATTGACACAACACACCTGACTGACAAGGGTAAAAGTGACATATAGATACCACGTAGCATTTGTGTACATGTGACACTTACTAGCAAACACATCAATCACATTAACTCACATATCCAATATGATTAAGCACCAAGTAAATCACTATCAATAACCAAATCACAACTAGCAAACTCATCAACCACAAAATATGAGAGGTGTCGAAAACCAACCTCTATTAGCAAAAGTATTAAGCAAACAAAGAGGAACAAGGGTTTGGGGCTTGTTTTCCCATAAATATGCTATCCACAAGAGCTCCACGAGAGTATAAATGCAAAATAACTAATTGACAATATGTACTGAATAGTTAGGAAGAAGAAAGAATGAGAAATTTTAAAAGAAAAAAGACATTTTAGGCATAAAAGACCCTTTGTTTTCCCGCTGAGGTCCTAGTCAGCGAGCGACTAACTTCATCAAAGCTTTTCGGCGAGTCACCAATTGAGCTAGCTTTCCCATTTAGGCTTTACGCAATATAAACCCTGAATCTTAAGTTGGTGAGCTCGATCCAACTCACCTTACCATTTGGGTGAATCACCAAATGTTCAGGAGCTCACCTAAAATGACAGAACCATTTCTAAGTTTCTTTGTAATTCACTTGGTGAGTTGAATCTTCCTCGCTAAACGCATTCGGCGAATCACCTTGTGGGTCTATGTCGAACCAAAACTCGTCATGAGTAGCACCCACACTTAATCTCCTAAGTGAGTGAACCAACGAATTCAATCCCAAATCATATCAATTGTTCAACTACGAATAACAACAACAATGCGGAAGCTCAAAACTTATTAGAGTAACCAATCAAATAAACCTCTAAAGTCTATTACATATTATCCCCAAAACCTGAAAGTCATCACATCAAGGACATCTGTTCTCAAAATACCAATTCTAAGAGTATTAAAAACACCAAAATAAATAAATAAGATGATCTATGTCTGAAATTTAAGGACATCATGCCATGACTGAGAGAATCCAACACGAGCTAGAAGGAATAGTTCACCCTGAAATCTGATGTGCTGGGCTGAGGGCGAGCCGAAGTCGATGGTACACTTGCTGCATTCCACAGCAGAAAACGAAGAAAACACAAGTAAGGGTCAATACAAGGAACATGTACTGAGTATGTATCATCGGTCAACCCAAAAATAGAAACTAATATGCAATGAATAATAGTATAAAATCAACTATGACACTTAGCAGGTGGAAAGCAACAAGTAATATGAACCAATGACAACAACATTAAAGTAAGTACGTAATCAATCAACAATATCAAGAACACACATGAGGACTCATGCCTCCACAACGAGCTCATTTGGGAATTGTGTTCTTTGAGATTGAGTACATTACATTATATATATATCATTTGGAACAGTTCAAAATCACCTTGAGAAGCTTCGATATTTCAGGTAATTTCGTTTTAGCCCTAACTTGCCTATACTCGTCGGATGACGGCGGCGGCCGTGGGGCAGCCTCCACCATTGGAGGTTTCTCCAACACCTAAGGGAGTCATTAATAATCTAGGGCATCCATCGAATACGACTTACGCCAACACTATTAAACCAAGGAACTCACAACACAAGTCTATACCGATGAAATAAGTAGCATATCTACATGGAGAACCAAGGATAGTGCGGGAAGAAGAGAAAGTAGAACAGATGATCATCAATGAAGACCTACAGTTCGCGGTGATAGGGAAATTTTCCTACGGGTGGCCGGAGATACAGAAGTTAAGGAGATTAATACCAAAACAATGTGAACTGAAAGGGGATGTAAACATTGGCTTACTAAGTAATAGGTATGTTCTAATAAGGACTACACTATTGGAAGATTATGTTACTCTATTGTCAAAACCACAGTTTTACATCACACAAAATTATTGGTCATATCCTATGAGGACCCATAATTAAGTGGGATCCAATGTTTGATCCGGAGGAGGAAACATCAATTGCGATTGCGTGGATATCGTTCCTAGCGCTCTATCCCAATTTCTTTGGGAAGGAAGCAATATTCTTGTTGGCATCGGCTGTTAGAAGACCTTTACAAGTTGACATGAAAACTCAAAATAAAACAAGAACAAGTTGTGCAAGAGTTAAGGTAGAAGTGGATTTAATGAGAGATTTCCCTATTAGAATCAACGTGGGAGTAAGGAAGAAGACAGGGGAATAGTGGAGAAGTGGGTTGCAATTAAATATGACTATGTACCAAAATACTGCAAAACATACATGCTACAAGGACATAATGAAAATGAATGTTTTATCATTCATCCAGAGTTATACCCTAAAGAGGAGAAGGAAAGTAATGCTGAAAAATTGACAGGGGACAAGAAGGAAGAACTGGAAAGAAGATCCAAAGGGAAAGAAAATATGGTGGAGCATAAAAGAGAGATTAAGCAAGGTGAAAACAATAATTTGAAAGAGCAAAGTAGGATGAAGTTTGAGGAAGGGGATAAATATCATAACAGAGGTGGAAGGAGAGAACAAGTATGGCATCCAAGGAAACATCTAGTGAAGGATCATAATGTTCAAACACATAACATGTATGAAGCTTTTGGGGAGAATAAAGAAAAGGAAGAAGGGGAAATCAGTGTGATAAAAGAAGTGGAGGAAGGAAAAATCAGTGAAGAGGAAAGAAGAGTTGCTGATCAATATGAGTCACAAAGTGGAGGAGGGATAGATAGGGGTAAAATAGAGGAGGAGAATAAAGAAAAGAGGGATTGTGATGAAAAGAATGAAGAGGAGACAAAAGATAGTCAAGAAAGACAGGAGCATGATATCATGGGGGAAAATCAATCAGGAGAAGAATTGAATGAAGGTGATCATTTAATCAAGGAGAAAGAATCAAATGAAATAGGGACATCGAGTAGTACAAATAACTCACCAGAGGTTTCCCAGAGAGAAAAGAGCCAACAACAATTTAAAGGGTTAAGGGGATTGAATGAAGGGGTAAAGTCAGGAAAATCACCTGATTTGGAGGGAGAGCTACCCCCCAAAATCCATACCATTAAGCAACAGGAAAAACAACATCAACAAGATACAGAGGAGGAAGGCAACATGGATGCAAATATTGACAATATAGACAGAAGTGGAGACTTATCACCAAAAGCAGATAGAAAGATTAAAGGGAAGAGACAAAAGAGGATCCAAGCATAATCAACCGTCACAAATAAAGACAATGAGTAGGATGGGGTCTTCATTATCATCATATCAATGATAGACAAAGTCCTCTTTTGGAATATCAGGTCGGTTAAAACTCAAAATGTTTTTGAGAGAGTAGTTGACTTGAACAAGAGACATCACTATTCATACATTGCAATACTAGAGCCTTTTTCAAAGTCCCTCCGAACTGGAAAATTATAGGAGAAAGCTGGGATTACCACATGCTAAGGCAAATTGCTCAGATAAGATTTGGGTTTTTTGGGAGGACGATTGGGAAGAGGAAGGTTCAACAGATACTTTTCAAAAACTCACTATGAATTACAAATTAAAAGGCACACAATTTAGATTTTCTCTTACAACAGTCTATGCGAGGTGCAGTGTGATAGAAATATTAGAGCTATGGGAGGATTTGGATTTTGTGGCAAACGCAAACCAGATTATACCTTGGATGGTTGGGGGAGATTTCAACACAATAGTGGATGGCACAGAGAAATTGGGGGGTCTACCAGTGTCTCATTTTGAGACACAAGACTTTGTTCAATGTATTAATAACTGCGCATTGAATGTGTTGAAGTTTATAGGTAGTCGATATACTTGGTGGAATGGGAGAATCAAAGAAGGTTGCATCTTTGAGAGACGTGATAGGGTTTTTGGGAATAACATTTTGATGAATCTTGCACCAGAAAGTGAGGTCCACCATTTAATAATGCAGGGATCATATCACACACCACTACATGTAAGGTGTAATTCTAATCAGGAACCAGTCAGCAGGCTTTTCAAGTTCTTGAATTTTTGGACTAAACATGTAGATTTCAAGAAGATAGTAGAGGAAAACTGGAGGAATCAGGTTGAAGGATCCCCTTTTACCATTTTTCATACAAAGATGAGACGACTAAAAACAGTACTGATGCAGTGGAGCAAGGAGACATTTGGGAACATTTTAAAAAAAATTACAACTTTGGAGGATGTGATTAAAGGAAATGAGGTGAAATTAGAATTAGCTCCTACAGAGGCCAACATATCTGAACTCAGCAGGGCTAATGCAGAATTAAAGAGGTATCTGAAGATGGAAGAAGATTTTTGGAGGCAAAAGGCAGGAATGAGGTGGTTCACAGATGGGGACAGAAACACAAAGTTCTTCCATGCATATGTTAAAGGGTGAAATTAGAATTAGCTCCTACAGAGGCCAACATATCTGAACTCAGCAGGGCTAATGCAGAATTAAAAAGGTATCTGAAGATGGAAGAAGATTTTTGGAGGCAAAAGGCAGGAATGAGGTGGTTCACAGATGGGGACAGAAACACAAAGTTCTTCCATGCATATGTTAAAGGGAGAAGGAGGAAACTGAACATTAGAAAAATCAAAACTATACAAGGGGACACTATTAACTCACCTAAGAATATTGGAGAGGAAGCAGTAAATGTTTTCAGGTATTTGTTTAAGGAAACACAAGAGACAATGGACTTTTCAATGCTTTAGTGTATCCCAAAATGGATCACAGAAGAGGAGAATAAAGAAATGGAGAGGATACCTACAAAAGAGGAGGTGAAACAAGTGGTTTTTAACTTAAATGGAGACAGTGCGAGTGGGCAAGATGGTTACTCAGTCCATTTATTTCAATATTGCTGGGAAATCATTAAGGATGAAGTGTGAAATATGGTAAGGGCCTTTTTCAGTGGTTTTGAGCTACCAAGATACATAACACACACAAACCTGGTCCTAATTCCAAAGAAGGAGGTAGTGGAGAATTATGGAGATTTAACACCAATCAGTCTTGAGCACTTTTGCCAATAAGATCATCTCAAGATTGATACATGAGAGAATCTCAAAAGTACTGCCAAGGATTATATCAGTGAATCAGTTGGGGTTTGTTAAAGGGAGGAGCATAACTGAAAATGTTCTCCTAGCTCAAGAGATCATAAGGGATATTAACAAGAGAAACAAACTACATAATGTGGTTGTGAAACTTGATATGGCAAAGGCCTATGACAGAGTCTCTTGGAAGTATCTTGTTCAAGTCATTAGAAAGTTTAGCTTCTCAGAAAGAATGATTGACATGATAGTAAGGTTGATTAGTAACAATTGGTATTCGATACTCATGAATGGGAAGTCTTATGGTTTCTTTCAATCATCAAAAGGGCTGAAACAAGGAGACCCACTCTCACCTACTTTGTTTATTATTGCAGCTGAAGTTTTGGCAATAAACTTAAATGGTTTATTTGAAAAAGCTGAATTTGAAGGTTTTGGGCTTCCAAAATAGAGCCCCCAAATTAACCATTTATCTTATGCAGATGATACTTTACTTTTTTGTTCAGGACAACTTAAATCAATGAGGATGATGATGCAAGTACTAAGAAGATATGAGGGTGTCTCTGGTCAATTGATAAACATTAACAAGAGTGTGTGTTATCTACATGAAAAGGTGCCAATAGGGATATGCAATAAAGTAAGAAGGATTACAGGGGTCAAACAGGGTAAATTTCCATTCATTTACCTAGGATGTCCTATATTCTATGGTAGGAAGAATAAAGGTCACTTTGAAGAGTTGATCAGAAAGTAGCAAAAAGAATGGCCCTATGGCAGAATAGATTTCTTACATTTGGTGGAAGGTATGTTTTAATAGCACATGTTTTACAGTCAATGCCAATGTACTTATTATTGTCAATGAACCCTCCAGCTTGTGTCATAACTCAATTGCATAAACTACTAGCAAGATTTTTTTGGGGAAATCCTAATGGAGCCAAAAACAAACATTGGATGTCATGGGACTGCTTGTGTTACCCAAAGGAAGAGAGAGGTTTGGATTTTAGATCATTACATGATGTATGAAATGCTTTATTTGCAAAGCTTTGGTGGATTTTTAGGACTTCAACATCCTCACTATGAAGTAGCTACATATGGAACAAGTATTGCAAGAAGTATCATCCAATTATAGCTACATGATGGTGTTCATCACATGTGTGGAGGAAAATGATTGTGGTAAGGGAGGAGGTAGAGCACAATATTTGGTGGCAGATAAAGGCAGGAACATCAAGTTTTTGGTTTGATAACTGGACAAGATTAGGAGCAATTTATTATACTGAAAGTGGGGAAGTCAGGGAAGCAAAAATTGAAGTAAAAGACTTTGTCATAGAGGAAAGATGGGATGAAGAAAACTTAGCTGAATACATGTTGACAGAAATGGTGGAGTATGTTAAGGATAACATAATTCCTCCTAATAGGGAGGATCAAAATGATAAAGCTTGGTGGATGGGCAGTACACATGGAGACTTTACTGTAAAATCAGCTTGGCAAATAAGGAGGAAAAAGAAGGAGATCAGAACTGATTTTGATTTTATATAGAATATGGGTTTGCCATTTAAGGTGAGTTTTTTCCTATGGAGGGTATGGAAGAGGAGGGTCCCAACTGACGATAATCTAAAGAGAATGAAAATTCAGCTAGTATCAAGATGCTGGTGCTGTGAGAAGAAAACTGAGGAAACAATGACTCATTTATTCCTAACAGCCTCCATAGCCAATAGGCTATGGAAGCAGTTTGCTGGTTTTGCAGGTATACACATGGATGGGATGCATTTGCAACAATTGATTATTGCATGGTGGACACACAAAACCTCACCACAATTGCAAGAAGTTATGAGGGCTATGCCAACTATAATCATGTGGACTTTATGAAAGGGGAGAAATAATCTGAAACATGGAGGGAGCTTAACCTTCAATGGGATGGTGATGCAAGTGCAAGATATGGTTAAAAAGCTAGTGAAAAGGTTATACCCTTGGATATATTTGGAGTCAACCCAATGGTCAGATATAGCCAGAAGACTGAGGAGGTACAAACCAAAGCTACACTATCATAGTGTGGTATGGAGACCCCCTGACATGCAAAAGCTGAAATGCAATGTAGATAGAGCGTCAAAAGGTAATCCAGGATCAAGTTCATATGGATTCTGCCTAAGGAATTCACAAGGGGATCTGATTTATGCAAGAGCTGTAGGAGTGGGTAATACCACTAATATTGAGGCAGAATCATTAGCAATTTATGAATAATTGGAGTATTGTTGGGAAAAGCAGTTAAGAGAGGTCATAATAGAAACAGACTCATTGAGTCTACTGAAGATGATAAGGGGACAATGGAAAATATCATGGAAATTGGTGGAAAGAGGGGAAAGGATCAGGAAAAGGTTACAAGGACTAAATGCTACTATTATCCATACATTTAGAGAAGCTAACAATGTGCCAGATCTACTGGCAAAAGAGGTTGTGGAATCGCAAAATATAAAAGAGTATACAACCTTTGGGGATCTACTAACACACCTCAGGAGACAAATAAACAGCGACAAAGCACAAATACCAACATTAAGAATCAAGACAAGAAAGATAAATATTCAACATTGAGGATAACATAAGCATCAACATGGAGGAAATCATTAAGATGTCAACAATAAATATGAAATGAGCTTATTTACAACACAACAACATAAAATACAGAACAGAAGCTACAGAATTAGGCCCGAAAACACGAAGGTAGGGAGTATTGAGTTAGAAGATCGAACCATGGCTACCAAAAACCTTCACAGCATCACAGAGAGCTCCAATCAGTGTTTCTTCAGCCTATTGCGAGTAAACCCAAACCATCTATCAGATGAACAATTGATTAGGGGAAAACAAAATGAAAACAACTTTAAAATGAGGGGAAAAGAGATACCAGATATCAACTTCTACCATGTCAAGACAAGATTGAGCTTGAAGAGAAGAAGGAAAAAAATGGGTTTCAGGCAAAAGAACGTCACTTGAGGAAAAGGAGGTGGAGATAATACTTTCCTAATAGAGATAGACATTAGCTGATTTTAGGAACTTAAATGTTATTTTGGGCCTTGGGCCATTGTTTACTTTGATAACTTTTTTTAGTTAATAAATGGTCTCTGGACCAAAAATTGCTTTTTTTTTTTTTTAAAAAAAAAATAATAAAAAAATATATATATTATTATTATTATTAT